CTTTGGAGAAACCTGATCAGCGACGATCGTGCTGGTTTGGTGGCCCTCTCGACGGGGGGTGGGAGGGTGATCCTCGATCCCTGACTCCTCCTCCTCCTCCTCCTCCTCCTCCTCCTCCTCCTGCTCCTCCTCCTCCTCCTGCTCCTCCTCCTCTCCTCCTCCTCCGCCTCCTCCTCCTCCTCCTCCTCCTCCTCCTCCTCCTCCTGGGGGTACCCAGGGGTCCGCTCGCTGCCTCGTCCTGGCCGCCGCTGCCACGGGCCCTGGGTGGGCCGGGGTCGGCGGCCTCGTCCTCGAAGAGCCCGTCCAGGCCCCCGCCGCGGACGAGGGAGGCGAGGCCCCCGCTCTCGGCCTGGCGGCGGGGCGGGGCGGAGGGAGCGAGGGGTGCGGGGGGGAGGGGGAGAAGGAGGAGAAGGAGGAGGAGGAGGAGGAGGAGGAGGAGGAGGAGGAGGAGCAGGAGGGGGAGAACGAGGAGGAGGAGGAGCAGGAGGAGGAGGAGGATGAAAAAGAGGAGGAGGAGGAATATGGAGGATCACAAGGCGGAGAGGAGCGGCGGAGAGGGAGGAGGGAGGACAAGGATCGGGAGGGAGGCAGGAAGGAGCGGCATGAAGGGTTAGGCGGTTCTTGTCAATTCCTGTGGGTTCTCCTGCTCGCATGTGGGTTCCAAGGGCACGGGGCAGGGGTTTGCATGGCATGCCAAGGGAGGATGGACAGTGGGCAGGGGTTTGCATGGTACAGTCGGCCCGTATCAGAAGAATGCGCGATAAGGATGCAGGGGCCTTGAACGCCGATTTCGAAGCTTTTCGAGCGAAGCACGGCCACCGAAAGTGGCCAAGGATGGACCGAGGAGACAAGGAGGCAAGGATGCAAGGGTAGCCCTGGGAAGGTTGCCCATCCTTGCCATGCGGGTTGGCTGTATGTCAGGGGAGAATGGGCAGGGGTGACGGGACGAAAAGTGGAAGGGGAAGGTGGTGCGAATAGAGCAAGGGAAGAACACATTAACATAAACTTTCAACGGTCCGCGCGGGTTTCTTGGATCTGCGCTGGACCCCCCTCCCTGGCGCGCGGACGCGCCAGGGGCGGCGCCAGAGGCGCCGCCGTGGGGCCCCAACGCGGATCCAAGGAATCCGCGCAGAGCGCCAAAAATTGATGTATAGGTGTTTCTTTCTTCTTCGAGCGAAACGCACGACAATCCTGAGAGCCGCCCTTGACTGAACGCGAGGACGAATACCCGGCCTCCTTCTCCCCCTCCTCCTCTTCCACCTTCTCCTCCTCCTCCAGCTCCTCCTCCTCCTCCTCCTCCTCCTCCTCCTCCTCCGTAGCCATTTTGGCTAAAGTTCCCAACGTCGCTCCCGCGCTGGGAGCTTGTGTGCAGCCGAGGGAGCGGCTCGAGGCTCCCTGCTTTTCGCCCCACAGGGGGGCACCTGTGAGCTCCTGGAGGAGCAAGCCCACGTCCTGCAGTGCATGCAATGGCGCAGTGGGGCAAGGGCAACCATGGTTGGCGCAATTCTCGTTCCCGCAGTCGTGGCAATGATTGGCGGGGTCAGCATCAGTCCTACAGCGTGTGCAGCAAGTGTGGCCATTGGGAATGGGATTGGAGAGGTCACGCTTGGTGCAGTGTATGTAAGTCCGCATATAAAGGGTATGAACAACCGCACGGGCTTCCAGGAGGTCTTTCTGAGCATGTTGGTGGAGGACAAAGTGTTGATTCGTCCTCGCTGGCAGATCAAGCCCGTGCTGCACTCGTTCAATTTCCTGAGCTTCAATCTCTGCTGGCATCCGCACTTCCCCCTGAGCCGCTTCCTGCAGTTCCTACCCATGTGGAGTTGGAATCACTGGTGGCGGCCAAACGTACGGAGCTTGCCAAAGAAGTTGAACAGGCAGCAAAAGAAGAAAGGCTGGCATGGCAAGACCGCAGTGCTCGACAGGACGCCTTGGCGAAAGCTAGGGAGAAAGTCGCCCAAGCTGAATCCGCATTCCAAACAGCCTCCGCTGGGTTGGAAGAAGCACGCAACAAGCTCAACAATGCCAAGGAGAAGCAGAACAACTTTGATGAGGAAGAGTTCAAGTCACGTACCAAAGCTGCAGCTGAAGCCGCCCGTGCTGCTGGAGTCCATGCACCAGGAGAAGGACCTCAAGATGTTCCCATGGAACCCGCAGGCGTACCTGTGGGTGGAGGACATCAGGCTCCTGCAGCAGGGGGCAACATGGGCAGTTCTGGCAATCAATCCACATATGATCCTGAGATCGTCCAACGCCTTCACGAACTCTCCGATGATGAACTACGGAAAGTGGCAGATTCGACAAAGGTCCCCTTCTCCGAGTGGCAGCTGTTACGGTCCGCACAGAAGGCAGCCAAGAACCTTCTTCGTGGTGGTGAGGAGCAAGCTGTTCCTGGCCTGGACGAAGGAGACCAGGAGTTGGATGAGACCGAGAAGGAAATTCGTGAGCTTCGCAAGAGGCCAGCTGAGGAGGTTTCCCCTGAAGATTTGGAGCGGCTGGAGGCCCTCCTCACCAAAAAGTTCGAGACCAAGGCGGACAAGCGCCTTCGAGTTTCGGACTATGCTAATAATCTCTTTGTCAGCAGCTTCGCCAAGCTCGCCGCCCCCCAGGCAGTACCACCCCAGCAGCTACTTTAGTAAGGCTGCTGGAAGCCTTGAGGTGAAGTTCTGCAACATTTCGAGTTGGTCTGCGTTGGCCAAGGGAGAGATCTCGAAAGCTATCGGTCAGACTGACATCTTCTTGTTCGCAGAACATCACGTTAAGCATGAACGTTTGGCTACCGTTAAGAAAGACTGTTCTCAGATGGGCTGGCGCCCACACTTCCAAGCAGCACTTCCTAGTCCAGGAGGAGGTACCCATGGGGGAGTTGGAGGAGTCGTTCAAAAAGGATTCTACTGTAAGAAATATCTTCGGTCGGCTCTTGGAGGTGCCCAGGAATTTGGATCGGGAGAATGTTGGTTCTTCCTTGAGTTGAAGACTCATGGAGTGTCTATGGCTATTGGGGTTATCTATCTCATTTCTGATTTGGGTCTCGTCGGTGACAATTTGAAGCGTTTGCAGCAAGTGACTGATTTCTTGCGCATGATTAACACCCCGTTCCTCCTGCTTGGAGATTTCAATATGCCTGCCGTTGATCTGCATGAGTGCGGATTTTGTGAGCTTGTTAATGGCGTGGTGGTTGAACCCATGAATGTCGACTTCACATGTGATAAAGGCTTTGGTTCGATGATTGATTATGGAGTGATATCTCGTTCCCTTCGGCCGTATGTTTCCATGAATGCTGATCTTACCTCGGGTTTCAAGACCCATGCATGTTTACATGTCCACCTCCCACTTAATATCCTATCGGTTCCTGTATGTAAGCGGGACAAACCACCACGCTTCCTTCCTGCCGTTGGGCCTGACCTGCCATGGCAAGTGCACTTGCATCGAGTTCCCCGCCAGCGAGTCTCTGTTCCTGCCGAAGTTCGTTCGGCATTCCTTCCCTTTCATGGAGCTGGGCCTCCAGGACCGCTGTCTGAGGGGTATCAAAAATGGTCAGTTGCTGCCGAAAACCTGATGTTGTCTCGGTCCTGTCAAGAGTCCCCTGGGGGACAAAGAGGTCATGGAGTCCAGTTTCGATTGGGAAAACTTGGCAGGAGGGGTCCCCTTCGGCAAGGCTTTGCGTGCCCGACGCTTGCCTTCTGGTCTTTTGTTTCCTCCAGGCTGTTTGATTTGAAAGTTGCCCTGAAGCGAGGAGGAACTCGGCGCCTCTCCGCCCTCAGGAATGTCCTAATTCAACGAGCAGACGAGGTCGGCCAGCACATCACCGCCCTGGTGAACGCCAGGCAGGCCCAGGTTTGGGCTGAACGTCTGAAGGACCCCCCCCTTGACCCTACCGCCGTTGATGTTATGCAGGAAGGGTTGGAACCCATCCTTCGTCGTGCGTGGACGCAGGCTCGAGAAGCTGGTCAGGGTTGCATTAAGAAGTGGTTGTCTGAGGGCCTCAAAGGGGGAGCCAAACCCATCCATCGGTGGTTGAAGCACGGTTCTAAGCAGGAGGTTGAATTCCTCATTGATCAAGGTAAAGTGGCCCAATCCCCCACCGAGATGCTTGAAGTGCGAGAGCTGTTTTGGGAGAAGTGGTGGACCCCATCCAGTAGTCAAATCGAATCCCTCGTGTATAGCATGGGTCAGCTCCGACACGAGGCGGCCGTTGAGGCCACTGGTTTAATCCCCATCCAACCGCATGATGTAATGCGGGTTTGCAAGTATTTCCCTGCAGGAACTAGCCTTGGAGTCGACAGTTGGTCGCCTAAGGACATTTCGCAGCTGCCGCCAGAAGCTTTGCAGGATCTGAGTGACCTTTTCAATGCGTTCGAATACGCCCAAAGTTTCCCTGTTCAGGTCTACTTGTGTCTTGTGGCCCTTATCCCTAAGACCGTGAGCACGGAACGGCCTATCACCAAATGCCCCACCTTGTATAGGATGTATACCAAACTCAGGGGTGACCGTATTTTGGACTGGACCGATTCTCATGTGGCGTTTTGGGATACTGCTGTTAAAAATTCCTCGGCCCTGAGAGCGGCCATGGTCCGCGAGTTGGTCCACGAAATTGCCCGTGAGGAAGGATGCCAGTCCCTTTCGGCCCACTGGGATATGGAAATTTTTTTTGATTCTATCGACCCATCTAAGTTGGTCAGGCTTGCCAGAGAGGTCGATTATTCCGCCCTCATGCTGTACATGGGGCTGCTGATCCACACGGCCCCCAGGGTGCTCGAGGTGGAGTCTGTAGTGTCTCGCGTCCTTGGAGCAGGACAGTCTATCCTGGCAGGGTGTTCCCAGTCTATGCCGTGGATTAAATGTTACCTGTATGATATTTTGGAAACTGCCCACCAGAGGATCCCGAGAGTCCCCATCTTTGCGTACGTTGATGACTTAACCCAATCCCTTCAAGGGCGTGCCGAGGCTGTTGCTCATACTATTGTCCCAGCTATTGTTGAGTTGCACCAAGCTCTTGTTGATAGAGGCTGTGTTATTTCGTCTAAGTCATGTATCGTGGGCTCTAGCGTTGGTTTGACTAGGATCGTGCACCAGAAATGTGTTAATCTTGGGCTCCCTCTGATGGTGAGAGATACTACTAAAGATTTAGGCGTTGCTACTACGGCAGGAAGGAGGAGGACCATGTGGAAGATGAAACAACGGCAGGCTGAGGGTACCCGACGCTCCAAAAAGTTGTCCTTCCTGGCTGGCATTAATAAAAAGGCGAAGCGCTTGTTTAAGCCAGCTGTGCAGGCTGTTTCAACTTGGAGTCACCAAGTGCTTGGCCTCCCGCCTTCCCTTGTACAGCGGCTTCGAGGTCAAGCTGCTAAAGCATCAGGCTTGTGGGCTTCAGGTGCATGCTCCACTACGATTTTATCGATCAATAATCCGATGCGAGATGACCCTGGGTTTAGACTTCGTTATGAACACCTTCTCGAGTGGGGGAGAACCTGGACCGCCCTGATGCCAAAGCAGAAGATGAGTATTAACAATGTCTGGAACAACCTCGTGAATAGGTTCAATGGAATCGACCCGACCTCCCGATGGCGACGAGTTAGGGGACCTATTGCTGCTGTTATTGTTTGTATCCTGGACCTCCATGGGCGCCCTGAATCCCCCATCTCCTGGAAGTTCCCTGGGCCATATCATGTGAAAGCAGATTCGGGCGATTTCAGATTCTTCTTGTGGCACGCAGTCTTTCTTGCAGTTTCGCGCGAAGTTTGGCAACGAGCTGCTGGTCACTTCTGTGGAGAAGGACTCCGTGGAGGTGTTGATTTTACCGTCTTTAAGCAGCTCCACGCCTCTTTGAAAAAAAACGGTGATGGAGAAGGAGCTGCATTGCTCACCAACTTGATCATAGGTGGGCAGTGGCCTGAAATGAGATTAAAAGACTCGGGGTATGAAAGCAACGGAGTGTGTCCCAGGTGTGGTTTGGCCCCTGAGACCCCCTTCCACCGGTTTTGGGAGTGTGATGACAATAAAAATATCGAGGATTCTGCGATCCGACTCACTGGTAGGTTTGCCGATGATGCCCGCCAAGGGGCCAGTGACGCTTCCTGTTTTTGGACCCGAGGGTTGGTCCCCATGGGCTGGACGCTGGATGACCTTCCTGATGGGCAACTTCGTGTCTGGGCCTGGGGAACGTTTTTGGAGTCCATCAGTTCTAGAGTTAAAATTGTCGGAGGAGTGTTTGGGACCGACGGGTCCGGAGGAGAAAATGGCAAGGATTGGAGGTTGAGGAGATGCGGTTGGTCAGTTGTTCACCTGGACCCCGATTCGCTTGAAGTTCGAGGTATCCTTTGTGGTACCCTACCTACTGTTGGTATGTGTGTGCAGAGCTCTCCTCGAGCAGAACTGTTTGCACTTCATCAGCTCTTGGTGTACACCGAGGGCCCAATTCATGTTTACATTGATTACCAGCCCATTGTCTTGGCCTTCAGAAGAAAGGGAGCACGTGTGGATGACTCTACCATGCTGGACCTATGGCAAAAAGTTTGGACCACTCTTGAAATACGATCAGGTGATGTACGTGCGACATGGGTTAAAAGTCATCCTACCAGGAGCCAGATCGAGCAGTACCAGATCTCTCCTCACGGCCTTGTTGCTAATTCGGTTGCAGATGTATTCGCTGGGGTGGCTGCCGAATGGGGGGCCTTAGATCCTGAATTAGTCAGAACAGTGCGTAGTGTTGATTCATGTTGTGGCCTCGTGTTGCAGCGGTTCCTAGCTATCAGTCGTCACGTGTCGTTGACTTGTGGTCGTACCCGCCAGGATAGACTAGGCCGTGAGCAACACAAAGAGAAGGCTAGGATTAATAGTGCCAGCCAACGTAAAGCCCGCCTCGTCCAGCAAGGGCATGTTGTCCTGAAGACGAGTACTGTTTTTAAATGTAAGTTATGTGCGAGACGTTTCCCTGCTTTGAAGGGTCGCTTGGATCAATTTTGGCCAGAGGCCTGTCTCGGCCCTGTGGTGTTGGGTCCCGCTTCGAGGGATGGGCCCTCTGCTGGGATCGGTCCGTGGAGGCCTGTCGGGTCCGATGGTGGTCACCATCCGAGCGTTCCCCTGTGCCACTCCTCACACCAGTTGCATGTGTGTCGAGGAGTTTTATTTTGTGCTGCATGTGGAAATTTTTGTGTAGGGACCCCAGTGAATCTTGCTGTGATCTGCCCCCTGCGCGACCAGTCGCACCCCAGGCCCTGTAGCACTACAGGGAAGCAGAATCTCAGCAGGCTGCGGAGGGGTCTCCCGCCTAAATATGGCATGAGTTTCCCTGAGGCGTGAATGGGATGTAGGGGCTGAGCTTGCACTCAGGAGCCCGCCACCAGGAATCCCAGGAATCCTCCTCCTCCTCCTCCTCCTCCTCCTCCTCCTCCTCCTCCTCCTCCTCCTCCTCCTCCTCCTCCTCCTCCTCCTCCTCCCCCTCCTCCTCCTCCTCCTCCTCCTCCTCCTCCTCCTCCTCCCCCATACCCCGCCCCACCC